AGGTTCAATAGTAATCTCACCTGATTTTAAAAGGGGCATTGGGCTTGAAAGGGATGATTTATTTTGATTCAATTTTGAATGCCATTCATTGACCCAACTAGACCGTAGTTTCTAAAGAAACAATTACAAATATGATATAAATCAAAAATAAAATTTATATTTAAAAATAATTACCTTAACCATTGAATTGGACTTCTTAAAATCATCAACACTATCGTCAATATCTGGTGATTGTTCAGATTTGTTATCGATAGATGTATCATTTCTCTCAATGATATAAGTACCTGTACTACCAGTATCACTATTTGAAGAGGAATCATCACAGTCATTGGATTCTTGGTAATTTTTGTGGACTGGACTAGAATAAGATATTCCGTTGTCTGAAAAAAAAAAAAAAATGTTTACCTTTATTCAAACATATTACACTAAAATAATAATTTATTAATTGTTTTATACGTACTTATTATTATTATTTTTTATAAAAATATTTTTGGACATAAAAATATATATGCATATATTAATAAATTTTACTATGATTAGATAAATTAATATTACATTCAGAATATCTGAGTTTTCAGATAATTGCCAATATTTTAGTAACTTTAAAATTTGTATAAAAACTATACACATTTATCTATATGGACTCACCTTTAGAATTAGACATTGTAGTTATAGACATAGTGTCACTTTTTGTCTAAAATTAAAATTAATAATTCATTAAAGTATATTCTTTTAAAATTTTAAATGTGATTATAATATTATGCATTACCGTTGTTGGCTGAAAAACATTATTGATGGGTAATGATAAATTGCGTTGATGTTTACGAACAATGTTATTCATGGTAGATCCATTTTCACCAGAATCTCTTGCTTTTGACCCATTCAGTCTTGATGATGTTTGCTCTCTCCACTTATAGTCTGAATTCATATTTTTTATTTATAAATTCTAGAAAGGGAAAAGAATCATTAAATTTAATAAGAAATCTTAACATAATATATTACACTATAATTAAATTTTATAATTATTTAGTAAAAATGTGTGATCTATTCTCTTAATGTCATTGTCATATTTATTTTTACATGTCGAGAGAATAAGTCCAAATATAAAAAATACTTTTTCAATGCTCTTTGGTCTAGACTAGAATAACCACAATGAATCTAAAGAGTTATGCCACTAAATGCAACATATTTATCAAGTGCTTTTCAAAAAATTTATATTTTTTGAAACATGTTTAATGCTTACCATTAATCTAAATATGTATAAAAAAATCCATTTTAACATTATGTAAAAAATTATATTAAAAAATTGTTATGATAATGGCAGTACTAAAAATTAATAAATAATCGATTATACCTAGTTCACTGTTATAAATTAAAACCATAATAAAATTGAAAATACCTAGTACCTAAGTAGATCACAGTAAATGAAATTTTTGATTATATTAGTACAAGTTTTGTATAATATATTTAAAAAGTTATTAATTTACTACTTCTTAAATCTACAACTATATTTCAATAAAAATATGTAGAATTTGTTCTAGTAATTCAATAGGCATATTCCTAGATTAATTTCCTAAATATGTAATAATTGCAAAACAAAAATTACAACATATGTATGATTTATTTGCTTTTAAACAATCGTTTAAGAATAACAATACTATTTTCAATGATAATAATATGTATACCAAAACTTCTAAATTATATGCAATTTAACATAAATAAATTATATTTTATGTTGTATTAACATCATCTAATTTTGTTTTTTGTTATCAAGTATGTTCTAAAATTTCAATAACAGTCCTTAAAAATAGTGTAATTATGAAAACTTACGCAACTTTTAAATATGACAAGACCATATTCTAGATGTCAAGTGTTTAAATCATAAATAAGTTTTAATTTGTGGGTCATTTAAATAATTTACAAAATCTACTTAAGAACTTATTTTCTTAATTATACTGGGGTGAGCGAAAAATAAATAATTGTATAAAATTTAAATACAGAAAATAGTAACTCATAATATTTATTAGTGGCAGTTTATGATTAAATTGTTTAGTACCTATTGAACTACTTTGAAACAATTTTTATCTTTTTTAAACTAAAACAGATGTTAATTGACGTGAAACAGGAAATATTGGAATTGTAGAACAGACAAATTTAATTAAGAAAAATGATAAGTTGTCTGTTGCTACATAACTTATTACCAGGGTAGGGACATATTATACCTAACATATTAAACGTCCAATTATACGTATATGTTTTATACACGAGTACAAATTTTTTTTTTATTAAACCTGTTTTCTGATGTTAACAGTTACAGTAATTAGTCATTACTATTATTAAACTAAATTATCTCATTAACCACATATTACATTAAAAAAAAAACAATGTAATTAATAAGTGTTATTTACTTAAAAACTGTAACTTTTACTTATAATTCTATTATATTATTTTTTATGAATGTATTCTGTACTGTATAATATATTTTCTTGTATATGCCAAAATCAACTAATTAAAATATGAATAAATTAATTATAAATTCAACCTAAATATTAAAATAAATTAAATTACCTAGACAATTACATTTGTATGAACAAATAAATACATAAGCTTGTTGGGATGTACAACCAAATACAATGACTATAAAAAATTATATTATTTTACATATTTAATTATTTCATAGTTGATAAAATATTGCGTAAATTATGTATGTCAAATAAACATAAGCCAACTGAGTAAAACTCAATAAAAAATATAATACTTAATAAATATAATATACCAAAATATACGATTAGCTTAAAGTAGTTTTTATCTTAACTAATTAGGAGATATTATATAAATTCTTTACAAATGTATAATATTATTGAAGCAATGTTTTTTATTGAAATTGSTACTGATCATTTGTATTCCATATTATTATGGAACAATACACTTTTTATAATCTAACTTATATTATTAGTGATTGGAGATTAAACATAAGTCTAACTTACTATTTTGTACTAAATTAAAAAAAATAAATGCAAAAGTTAATAAAAATAATAAATTTGGATAATTTCTTTAWATTTAATTATATATGAATATGTACCTAAGGTAATGTCTTTATAAACTTTAAAATAATAAAAGGTTATTATTTGAATTGTAGAATAATACAATTTTTTAGTATCTGTATAATTATGATAAATTTCAAATTATAATTTCAATGTAATAATCATAAGCAGAAAAATCCTGTTTCAAGTTTTTTAATGGTCCAAAAAAATACTCATATATATAAACTACGGATTTGAATCATTGCCCAAGCAATTGAAAAATCTACAGATAATATTATCTTAGAATAAAATATAGAGCAAAAAATATTATAAATACTACACCCATTTGATTATTTATAGATAAACATATTATATATATATCATTATATTTAATTTGACAACTCTTATTTTTTTTTATTGTTGTACTTGATTTCAGTAAATTTTAATATAATATAACCTTATAACTTTAATCAAAATATTTATATTACTAATATTTATGATAATTTGTCGTTGTTAATGGAAAACTAGATAATTAGGTATTAGACAAATTTACCTTAAAATGTTTTAAGTATGAGTAATAAATAAATAAGATAGTGCAATTTTTTATTAATGTTTTTAAATCAATAAATTATTAATATTTTATGAAATGAAAATTGTTTAAACAAACGTAGATTAATTTTAACTACCAATAAAAAAAATGTATACATAACTTAAATATTTAAATTGCTCAAACTATGTACCTATATAAATTTGAATACCTTGAGTAAATATGAAAATGGTATCTAAAACGTAAAAATATTTGATTATCAAACACATAGCGTCACTACCTAACCTAATCTAGAGATAAATATTTATAATTTATTATTGCCTATACTATCTAGCTATTATGTTTGAATTAAAAATTTCAAATTTCTGTTTAACCAATTGATAAATAATAAAATTGACAGTGAAATTACAATCTAAAAAAAAATTAAAAAGTAAATGACTAACCAACTCATTTTAATCCAATTTGAAAAGGTTTCCGATCGAAGTTCTGAAATATAAGATAAAAAGATATCTAAACATTATTCTACACTCACTTTATGAAGTATGTCTGAAGTTTTCTTTCAACAGTTTCAAAAAATTATATTTTATCTTTTAGCATCGATACAGAGACACAAGAGTTGTAAAGGTTGATTTTAAAAAAGGTAACGTTTTCAATAAAATATTAAAAAAATAATCCTATAGGTTATTTTTTTAAATTCGGAAAAGATGAAAATATTATGTAATAATTAACACCATACACGAAACGACGTTCCTCGGGCATCTATTTGAAAACAGCGCGATTCCAACTTGGCAACAAAAAATAAAACATTTTGTCGTGACGGGCCAAATGTCAATACAATACAGGTCAAGTCCAACTGGGTCTTACAACGCAAGTAGTAGGTATGTTTTGTTTTAAATATAAACGCATTTTCAGTTTACGCGAACGCGACATGTGTGGAATTTTTAGAGCGTGGGATCGAAGGGCGGGGAGCAGCGAGTAGGAAAACAGTACGGAAATAGTCTAGGTAGGCCGCCGCCGTAAACGGAAGGGCCGAAAATCTACCGTCACGACGCTCGAGACCAACTCACCGGAATCGTAGGCAACTCATCTACGCGGTCGTTGGCAGCGACATGATCGTGGATTGCAGATCGTAGAGCTGAACACCGCGACCGAGGATCTTGATGACGGCGACGATGATATGCGTGATACGAGTGCGCCGAAAGACGGGGTTTAATCGCTGTCCGCTGATCGAAAAACGCAATGACGGTCGATAACAATAATAATAAATACAAAATTCTAATTACTAACACTATAATTCCTAAGCGGCTACGAAACTCTTCGTTGTCTTATCAGTTATCAGCGCATGACGACCACCAACTTACTCCGACGGACCTAGCTTATCACGAAGGTAGCGCGCGCACGCTCCACGGTCACGAACTCACGACGTGTTGTTCCGTTGTTCGTGAGTGCGGTGTTAGTGCAATGCCGTCGTGTCAAAATTGTTATTGTTAGTTAGGTACCTATCGCAGCTGACGTCGACGTGGACACTGGACTGTCCACGGTGGACACTAAGTGACCGGTGTTCAGATTTTTATTTTGTGGTAATATTCGGACATTCGGTATTTCCGATTCCGTGGCGGCAGAATCTACTGCACTTTACATCACGACTACGGACTAAACGCGCCTTAGATATGAGTACCTAGATACATCTTGTTCCGTGATCACGCCAAAATCATTATACCTAACATATCTTTGATGCTCGGTACAAATAGCATAAGTCAAAAATGTCTAGTTTTCAGGAGAAGCAATTTAGAGTTTGAAAAATGTTGTCAAATCATGAGTGAAATAATGAGTTACTTTTTATGGTTAGATATGATACTTGTGTGACTTATTATGTATATATATATMTGGTATTCAATGCAATTTACTTAAAATTTAAGGTTTTTTTAATGACTTAAGACAATAATATCTGACTTCTACCATGACTTAATACTTTAAGTCCATAATATTACCGATTGGTGTTATTACTTAGTATAACAAATTTATTAACAACTTACTAAAATATTGTAATGGCACCGACCCACATTGTTAAAAAAATAAAAATATATACACATACTATTATAAAAAAAACATCACTGTATATATATTTCAAGAAAAAAAATGCTTTTACTTTTAGCAAAAAATAATAATATGTCAACAAATACAAATTATAATAAAATGAATATCATATTTYCAATAAAATAAAATAAAATAAATTAATGTTTCAATTAAAAGATAACTATAATATGAATAACACTGTTTTTTATGTTTAATTACAAGAGCAAMAAAATTATACAATAAAAACTTATTTATAAAATTATGAAAAAATCAATTTTAATAAAACTAACTAAATACAAAATAATCTCAGTCTTAAAATTACATTTTAGTAATGACTTATCAGCAATATCTTAATATTTTATTTATTCTCCATCAATACTAACTTCATCAAGATCTGGGTCATTATCTTGAGTCTCATTTGTCGTTTCCAACTCACAATAGAATTGATGAAATATTGGTGGAATTAGAGGTAGCAGATCTAGTAAATCTTCCTTTTTTTCTTTTGTTATTGCTAAAGGCCCATTGTATTTTTTTTTTTACTTGTAATGTAGTACCACTATTTCCTCTGCATAGAAAACTTAGTGTCTTAAATGGTTCATTTTCCTCAAGAGTAGTTTTATAGTTTAAAACCCCTTTCTGTGTTTTTGTATATTGCAACCAACAAACCGGTTGCCATTTAAATTGTTCTCTATCTGTATTTAATTTATGAATCATTAAAGGCCCTTTAAGTAAATTAGAAAAATCAAAAAAGTCATTTTGACTCATTTCTAGTACTTGAAATTTGTTTGCTTTTCCTGTTCCTCTTACAAGTTGATACCAGTCGTGGGGATGGTAAATAGGAATACTTGATTTCTTCTTTGATTTTTCTATCATTGAGTGATCTATATCACATTCCATATGTGTATGGACAGCAACTAAAAATTTGTGGTTAATAATTTTTAGGTGTGGCAGTTCTTGAATGGCTTTTATAAACATTGCGATACATATGTGTTTTTATTTTGACCACCACATGTATCAGAATAAAATGTTATTTCGGATTCAATTGGTTGAATATTGTGCTTTAAATGAAAATAAAAGGCAAGAAGCAATCTCATTTGCTCCTCTTCCTGCTATTCCCTCATGCCACATATAATTACATGATTTTCCAGTACATTTGTCATGTATAGTTAAATTGAATGTCCACAACTGCCTTTTATAAAACACAACTGAGGATTGTAAAAAAGGAGTAGGGAGACATTGTTGTAAATCAAATGAATAACATTTTTTGGTGGAATCATTTTTTGCAATTACCTTATCATTAGCTTTAGTTGAGTATGCCAGATCAGCAGCAGACTGATGTAAATTGAGACCATTTTTTGAAGCCAATAAATTTTCTTCATCGTTTGTCACATTTATGACATGTATCAACACTTGGTTTTTTAAAAGCAAGTTTTAATTTGTGAAATTCTCTTTCATAAATTACTCTTGATACAGGTCCATCAATAGTTTGCTTATAAAATTGATACATTTTTTGTAAATTTAAATTAGTAGGTAAATATTTCTTATCATTTAATTTCCTTGTATAGTGGMTCTCATAGGATGGGAATGAATTTATACGTTCAATAACTTTAGTTAATTTATCATTTTAGATCTTTTTTGTTGGACATTTCTTACCTCTATTATCCAGATTTACAATTCCAGAAATATTAAGAGCTTTATTTTTAGTAACAGACCTAATGAAACCCTCTTTTTCATCCAATGTTTTTGAGAAGCAATCTTTACAGACTGAATGGCGTTGTCCGTTTATTTCAAAAAAATAATTTAATGTTAAAGTTCTGTTTTTATTACTATGTTTTTATTAAACTTTCTAGCACGAGAACATTTTTTTTCCGATAAGTTTATTAAGCCAGGTAGAAAAGACAGTCTTCTATCATAAGTACCTAACTCCAATACTCACTAAAAATTGTATTTCTTACATTATCTGTTTAAAATGTATGACACATTTTTCTGCATTTTTTCAGTGGCTGAATTTGTCTTCCAGCTATAGACTTACCACTAGAGTTAACAAATGGTAATCCTTTATGTAAATTAAATTTTCTCTCTTTTCTTACAGATCTAGACCATTTTGTTTTTTTCTTTTGATGCTTATGCTCATCTTCTATGTCCATATCTAATAAACAAATTTTAAAAAGTAATTTATAATTTATTTTAAAATGTACTATTTAAATTAATTGTTCTTACTTTCTGATCCAGATGTTAAAAATTGATTCACATTTCCCTCCTCAGATACCAAAATCTCCCTGCATTCATCACCTGTACCTGGTTCGTAAACCTCATCGGACTCATTAAAAACTTCAACACAATTTTCATGAATTATTGTTTGTAATTCAGACTCTGCTAAAACTATTTACAAAAAGATTACATTATTTATGTTAAATTTATTATATATTTTGAATTTTCTCACTTTGATTGGAATCAACTGATTCGTTGATATTATTATCAATATTATAATATTCAATGCCTTCAAAACTATTTTCTAGCAATATTTGAAATTCAGGTTCTAGATCATACAATTCTAAATTGCTAACATTTTCTACAAGAGGATTGCTTAAAGATGGTACTTTGTTTCTACTATCATTATAAGTAACCAATGGCAAATCTTTACTTGAAAAATGTCTATTGGTTTCGGTAGAGTTAGTTGAGTCTATTTTAATATAAATACAATAATTATTTTTTTTTTTAGGTAGGTATATAATAATTAGTACCATTTCAGAACAATGATTCATAATATAATAATTATTTGAAAACAATAACTTAAATATTATATACTTACTAGAAGAAGTTGAATAAAAGTTGTGTACATTATCAAATGTACTTTTTGGTCCAGAAAATTCAGATTGATTACCTATTAAAGTGTTTAACAGTGTGTTTTTAATTTTTATAAATTACCTTATCAATTAAATATTAAATCAATAATAATAAATTATATGTTGATTTTTATTAAATTGATGAATCATATTACAATTAATCATACTTACTTGGAGGTTCAGAACTTGGTTAGGTTTAGTTTTGACACTAAGTTCGAGAATTTTTTGGCTCTAGTCGTCATTTTTTAAAACACAAGGAAAACAAAACATAAAGTAATATTTTGAAAATATTAAAACTTTGGTATAGTAGCCAAGAGGTACAGATTAAAAATTGTGTACTAAGTGTTATCATATTTTAATTTTTATATGATACATATTAAAATGTTCAGAAGTTAGATAATGTTACCAAATTTTATTTACCAAAAAATAGGTTGAAAACGTTTCATTTTCAATATTAATTTTAATCAAATAAGTTACTATAATAATGGGAAGGTATACAATAATAATATTATAATATAGTGTCTTTACTGGGTACGAATATCTTAAGTCGTATTATATAAAGATATAAATAACATATGTCGAAATAAGTATATTTTATCTCTGAAAAAATGTATATTGTAAGTGGCTATAAAATCGTAACTTGACTTAAGTGATTTTTACTTTTTCATACGTTTGTATTTAAAAATAGTATAATCATAAGTCGACATGAGATAGTTGTACCAAACGATAATTCAACTACTCGAAAATACTACTATAATACCACCTAATTTAAGAGATAACCGTTATCAATACGACTTAAGAGTATTGTACCACAGAATAGATGAAATCAGAAAGGACACTTGAAGCAAACACCGTTTTGCATGTAGTGGGGGTGGTGGCCGCCATCTTCTTTTTTATGCTGTCCGAAAATTTGTTAGGTTATGAAATTAAGTTGTAATGAACACTTGTCTATCAGATATCACTTTTGTGTATACTCGTGGCCTATTGCTATTTCGCAATTCATTTTTCACAATTTCACATATTGTTCTGGGCTTGTGTTAATTGTTATTTGCATTAATTGAATTTTTTTTCGTCAATTGTTTGTGGTTGTTGGTGTATTCATTTTTACAATGAATACATTAAATATTCCAAAGAATTACATCAAATGTTCTTATTCAGGTTGTCAAAACAAAATGGCTCAAAATCCTAACGTTAGTTATTTTTCGCTTCCGAGGGATCCAACTAAGTATGTATAATAAAATAAAATAAATTCATTATATTGAAAAATGTAATAAAACTAAAAAATAATTCTTAATCATAGCCGTGCCAAGTGGATTGAAAACTGTGGTATCACAACTCCTGTTGATTCCATAAAAAAATCCTTAAAGGTGTGTGGCGAACATTTTGAACAAAAAATGTTTTTAAATGATCTTAAAAATAGACTTCATAGTCATGCTATACCAAGACATTTTATAATTGAGTGTACAGTTTCATTTTTATATTAGATTGTTTTATTATGTTTGAGAATGAAATATACTGTATAGTTTGTATTATATTTTAGATGATACACCATCATCTTCCAGCAGCATTTCACGTAAACTTGATTTTTGTTCTACTGTTGACAATAATATATCAAATGCTCCAGCAGAATGTGAAACAACAATTCTCTCTTCTCCAAATGTGTTAGCTCTACCATTGGATTCTAGAACACCAAGTAATTATTATATTATTTATTTATCATGTGTATCATTACCTACTCTACCCATAACATTAATGTCAACAAATGCATTTGTTAGGTAACTTGCTTCTAACTGAGAAAATGATTTCACACAACACCATAAGCAGTCCATATACTGATCATTCCTATGTTTCACTTGACTCGGAGTCAAATTATTCATTTGAAACAAATGAGTCGGGGAAAAATTGTAAGTTATACTTGTACAGTTTTTACTTTATAAAATTACAATTACCTACTGTTTAATTAGTTTATAATATTTTATGTTCAACAATACATTTTTATCTTCTTCAATGTGTATTGACAATGTATCGTTGCTTGTTTCATTCTTCATTTCATCTATTCTGTGCTTGACGCTTGCTTGAAATTTTTACTACAGACAGTTATCACCGCCAAGAGTGCTATATGTCCTATGAAGGCCGATAAATGAACACTTGTGCAACAAAGGCATAGAAAATTGAAAATGTATTATGATTTAAGGAATTAAATTCAACATTTTATATTGTATAATGACTTATATTATGTTCTAAGTTATTTGTATGCATGTATTTAAATACTTTCTTTTTTCAAATACAATTATTAATATTATTAAATAYTGTCATTTTTAAATTTCCTATTTAAATGTTATACATATTTAATGTTTAACGTTATTCAATATTTTCCTTTTAACGTTATTACATTTTTAAACGTTATTTTAATTTTTAATTTTTTGTTAAATTTTATAATTTAAAGAAAAATATACAATTAAATTTTTTTTCAATAAACTCTACTGTTATTTTTGGCATAATTATCCACTCTGTTGTGCAAGAATTATGAAATAGGTAGAATTTCCTAGGGTTTTTAGCAAAGAGCTAACTGATAAGTTATTGTTAATTTAGGTGTATAATTCACAAGATAATACAAATTGTGTCACATAGAAGTTAATAATTATTCAAACAAACTTATATTTAAATAATAAATAATATAGGTACATTAATAAATTATTGGCGGTTTTCTTGTATTATTAAAATATTTTCCAACATTTGACAGGATAATGATGATCTTAAGTCAGACAAAATTAACTTAAGACCAAAAAAACTGCATTCAACACTCACCTAAAATGATTTATTAATTAATATAAATATAATTAGAAACAAACAACAGTGTTTAATGCTTATTATATGACCATTTCAGTCAATTCATATTACATAGGACATACATTTAAAATTTTAAAAGCACAAGAAATATTTACCTGAGTAGCTGGTACAGCCATAACAATTTCTGCAAGCTCAAATCACTCTGGCATTTCATGTTTCTTTGCCAACCAATACTGAACCACATTTTCTTTGTAATTAACTCTATCGATATTTGCAAAATCTTCAATTTTTGTTTTTATCTCATTATAAGAATTATTGAGATTAATAGTTGGAGGTATTGTTTGAGCTTGTGAAGTTGTTCTCAGATACTCTTCAAAATCATCTGTGATAACACTTATTTCTAATGAATTAGAATCGTCTTCTTGGGCTATTTGCTCAACTAATTCTTGATTGGAATTCTGAAACCAAATATTTCTATGTTTGAAATTGCATTCAAAAATAATATTATATTTGTTGTTAAAATGTATTAATTAAACTTGTTAAAGCTAAATTCTAACAAAGTAATTATGCAAACCATTTACTAAGATTTCTATGAGGTACTTTTATTTAAAATTAATATTGATTATTTTACATCTAATATATTTTTACAATTTTGTCTAGAATCAGTTAATGTATTGCATTTTAACTTTATTCAGTTTCAATTAAAAAATAAAAATGTACATTTTTTGGAAGCAGCATTTAAAAGACACATAACGAGGGTCTAAATAAATGGCTGCAAAATAATTCATTATTAAGAAATTTGTTTTATATTTTAAATTATAAATCATAATAGTTACAAGATAATATTTCTAGTAAACTTATCATTCACATATAGGTTATAAATATATTAGGTTGTAACTCACTTGCAATACAAACATCAATTTCTAACAATATTTGTCTTGGCGAATCATCATAAAATGTAAGACAGATTTTGAAATAGATGTATTGATAAGATTTAAATTATTTTGTGTTAAAATCCAAATTCCATAAAAATCACCCAGTGTTAAATCTCTTTTTTGGAGTAATTTAGTACACAAAAATGCTGGCTGAAGGGATTTTACCTAAATATAAATTAGATATAGACATGAATAAGTGAGTTAGAACTTAGCAGTATAAATTCATAATTGTTGCTTTGATTACCAAATTCTCAATACGATCCCAATCTTGTGTACTCAAAAATTAATCTGTATTAATCAATTGGTGGTCCTTACAAACAGGTTTTAACTCAATTAAACGTAATAACATAAGATATGTAAATTCCATCTTAAAACTACATCAAGAATACATAATTTCATATTTTCTTTTTTTTAAAGGGCGGCATATGATTGAGTACTAAGTACTTTTACAACCTATACAAATAATTTAGTTTAAATTAAAATAGGCATATTGTTAAGTTTAAATTATTGACATTTGACTAACTACTTATGCAAAGTAAAATATAAATAAATATGTAATAAGTATTAAATATGGAACAAAAAAGTTTTAGCATATTTACTTTACGTGTTTTTGTTAATAGTTTTTGAATTGAGGGTTCTTTCAGTCCACTTTCAACACACAGTTGAAATGTATGCACAGAAAATCTTATACATTGAGTGATACCATTTACATCACTATTATTGTTTAGAGCTGTAGCTACCTTATCTTGTAATACATCAAAATTGGATGTGACATCTGTTTTTGATACAGTTGCATGAATAGCGTTTTCACTCAGATCAATTTTTTTCCATTATAACGTTATATATAACGAATATCCCGCACTCTTTTGTTCTTGAAATCTTTTTTGCTTAAGCCTTATGCAATTAAAAACGCAATTTACGTCTATGCGTAATTAATATATTGATTTTAAATTCAATTCATGTTTAATCTTATAATATATTCTATATTCTATATATATTTGTTTAGCATCGTCAGTAGCTGTTCAAACATTGAAATCGTGGTCTGACGACACACCCAGAAAACAATCCTTGAAATCAAAGTACAAACTTGAAAAGAAGGCAAGGATTGAAGCACAAAAAACTATTGCCACTTTGAGTCAAAGTTGGCAGACATAAACAATGAGGAAAACTATATGCAGCAATGTGAAAAATTTTTATCTCCAAGCTTGTTAACCATTGTTAAATCACATATTCGTTGTCAGAAAAAACGTCCAAATGGTTACAGGTACTCAGATGAATTAAAACAATTTGCACTGACGATATACTTTTTAGGACCAGCTGTATACCGTTTCTTGAGACCTACTCTGTGTCTTCCAGTACCAAGAACTTTAAGAAGAGTTATGAGTAAATATGAGTTGAATCCTGGACTGAATGACTTTTTATTTGAATTTTTAAAGTTTAAAATTTCAAATTTTAAACCAGAAGCACTTGATTGCACTTTATGCGCTGATGAAATGGCACTTAAAACACATTTATTTTATTCATTGAGGAAGGATGAAATTATGGGATTCCATCAAACAAATTCAACAAAAACTTATGATCCGGCTAAATTTGCATTTGTGTTGATGATTTGAGGAATTAATGTTCAATGGAAACAACCAATTGCATATTTTTTGGTATCTGGCAGTTGTACTGGAAATGACTTGTATAACATTATTATATCTACTATTRCTAAACTTCAAAATATTTCTTTGAATGTCAAAGCATTTATAACTGACCAAGGCTCCAATTTCCTGAATTTCAGCAAAAAGGTGTTTGTCAGTCCATCACGACCTTATTTTTATGTCAATGAACAAAAGGTTATTTATATGTTTGACCCACCACATTTGCTGAAATCAACTAGAAATATGTTTTTCAAACATAATTTCATCGATGGTGAAAATTACATAGACAATAAACACCTCATACATTTCTATAACGAAGACTCTAAACTGAATATACGAACAGATCCAAAATTKACACATGCCCACATATACCCTGGACCATTTGAGAAGATGAGGGTTTATCTAGCAGCACAAGTGTTCAGTCATACTGTTGCTGCTGCTATGCAAACTTATCAATCTTTGGGAAAACTATCATTTGATTCTTTGCAGACGATTCAATTTATTGAAAAAATGGACAATTTGTTTGATATATTTAACTCATCAAAAACACCTAACAGTAAAGACTTCAGGAGACCTTTTAAGAACACGTCAAATCAAAGAGAATATTTACTTATGATGGTATCATTTTTTGAGACTTTGCGAGTTGTAACAAAAATTAATGGTTCTGATGTTACAAACCGAATGAACTTCATCAATGGCTGGTTGATATCCATAAATGGTCTATTATTATTGTGGAGTAACATGAATCCCACAAATGATTGTAATTTTGTTCTCTATACATCGCGTTTAAATACAGATCGTCTTGAAAATCTTTTTGGTATGTTTCGACTTCAAAATGGGAATAATTTAAATCCGACACCTGTTCAGTTTTACTGTGCCTTCAAAAAACTCTTCTGTTTAAATTATTTTAAACATTCACCAAATGCAAATTGCTTAAAAGATTTGGATAGCATTTTAAGTCATTCAAATGTAGAAGAGACTGGAAATTGCAACACACCGGTAATACTTCCAAAGCAGACAGCAAATCCGATCAATTTCATTCCATATTTGAAAATTGAAGATGTTGATTACCGAGACCTTAATATACCTGAAAGTAATGCATTAAATTATATTTGTGGATACTTATATATGAAATGTTTAAAAAAGCATACGTGTGATGAATGTATCAAATATGGGCACAGTCAAAAGGCTTAGACAAATCATTTCTATTCTGCCACTTTAAAGCATATGAAGACAAAAATAAGACCATCTTTGGACATCTTCAAGTACCGCACAATGACTTCCACGATTTTATTTTTGAACTAGAAAATATATTTATTGAACAATTTCCAATCTTAGCTCTAGACAAAAACGTAGGCATTAAAATGAAAGATGCATTTTTCAATGTACCATTTAATCATCCTTGTCCATATTTTGATCATGTATTCTTAATTAAATTATATGTAAGATTTAGAATTTTTTCATCCTTAAWGTTTTTAAACAGAGAACTTTTGACTGAAAGAAATCGTACAAATAGAAAACTCAAAATTTTAAAACATTTGTAACATTATCTTTTACATTAAAATAAATATCTGTTGAAACAAAATGTTTCTCTATTTTTTATACCTAATTACATATTATTATTGTCCTAATTTAAGTAATATTTATTATACTTACGGAAGTGTTATTTACAAATAGACAAACATTGAAAAATATATATAATATATTATATTTGAATTAAATTGTATTACAATTGAATAATACACCAGATACACCAGATAAGTACTGTTTAATTAAAAACAAGCCAAAATTGCAAAAAACTTTGACTTAAAGGCATGGTCTTAGAATACGTTAGGTTAGGTTTTAAACTTTTAACTTGAACCAGTTGAACCGAAATAATTTTGTGATTAAGTTTTATTATATTTCATCTATTCTGTGTTATATATTTACACAATATAATTGTAGATATAATGTTATTCCCGTTGTGTGGACAGACTGATTCATAAATAAGAATATGGCCGCCACCTTTTTGTGTGATAAGTATGATTACCATGTTATAATATTTAAGTGTCCACCCCTTGATTGTACCAAAAAAATCTACTTTTTTTTCTAAATTTTTCAACGTATTGTTTGTACAGAGCATCAAAGAATTATATTCATGTTATGCAATTTATTAAGTATAATATGATCAGCTAAGACGTATTAGGACTAGATTGGGACGATTGGGTACAGTATGTACCATTTGTTAGCATAAAAATGTAAATTGTACACCAATATACAATATACATATTTAGGGTAACCAGTCCAGTTATTGAACAGTTTAAATATTATTAACCTTCAAATTGCATTGATAAATTCAGTTTTAATAATTAATTCTCCTAATTCAGATAAAGGAATTTCTTGATCTGCTACTTTGTAATAAACCTATTTATTAAAATACCAACTTATACACATTTCAGTGAAATTAATTAATTTAAAAAAATCTGTAAAATAATAGTAATTGAACAGTCTGATATAGTCTTTGAACATTTTAAACCCAGTATTTGAATACTTTTAATTTAAATATTTAGTTATGCTGAAAACAATATAAATGACAAATGTATTACCTTAAAGATTTTGTAAATGTTTAAAGGCAAATAAATTATTAGGGCACAAAAATTACAAGTTTAAAATATTTAAAACAAAATATGGTTTAATATAAAACCAATAACATAACAAAAACTTAATTTCTAAAATACCACCCTGGTATCAGTTTAAAGCATAATAAGTACATAATGTCATAACATTTAATTAGTATAAAAATTTACGCTGTGGCTAGAGTGTAGAGACCCGGACGCGAAATTTTAAAACATGTCACGGCGCATTTACCATCCGACTATCTTATCACATACAAGATATATGATAACAAGTTGACATTGATAACAAATTTGAATTTTGTTAATTACAGTGCTAATTATTGTTAATTAATAATTTTATTTTCCCTTTACAATTATTAGTTATTACAATACTTATCATTAACCTATTAATTTCAATTAAGAATGGAAGGTTTAAATTCTAAGGTACCTGTCGTAACATAAT